ATATATTATAGCTCCTATACTGAATACGCCTTTAACCTAGTTATTCGTGTTCGCTATCCACTATTCGTTCCTATACTTAAATATAAGAATTATATCGCCGCTCAGGAGTTATTACGCGGCTATTACATCTATACAGCGGGTAACTTAATTAACCGCCTTAGTAATCTCTTATAGGGTTCGGCTTTTAAGGTTAGTCTTAGTGTCTCCGTATCGGACTATTAGCTCTCGGGCGTATCGGGTAGGTATAACCTTTACCGGTATTATCTCGATATATTAGCGCTATATAGGCGTGCTCCCTACTACTTAGGCGTAGGTCTTAGGTCCTATTACTCCGAGTAATTCCGTTAGTATACCCTTAATCGCTTATTAGATTATATTAGTAAGCCCTTTAATCGTAAGAGGGGGTATATCGCTACCGGGTTATTAGCATAGCGGCTTCCCTATAATAGTCTTATAGTGTTACGTTTAAAGGATCTTCTATACTAGCTTTAGCGCCTTATCGGCGCTTACCCTATTAGCTAGTAGTCCGGAGAATTAGGTATATAGTTTATATAGTACGCCTTCGGTGCGCCCGCTTAATGCCTAGGACTTTTAGGGCTTTCCCGGGGCTACGCGCCCCGGGTTAGTTCTAGTTATCGTATTCTAGGCGCTTTATATTAGTATACCGGTATCGTGTTCGGTTAGCCCTACGGGCCGCCCTATAGTATATAACTCACCACGCCCTTTATAGTCTCACTACGATATCGGTCTCCGGTGCTTTTAAGGGCGTAGAGTCTAAATCCGATATTAGAATTGATTTTATCGATAATACGGCACCTTAGGAGCACTTTCGGCTTAACGATACTCGTTTGCTATAATGCTTTAGCTAAAGTAATAGAAGGTATAACTATTAATATAGCGGATAATACTACGGTAACGGGATTCTTAGCTTTATTCTTTTTACAGCTACCCTTTTTCCCGGGCTTAGCCGTGGCCTTTAAGATATTTATACCCTTATTAGTTCTAGTATATAGTATACGGAATACTATAGCATGGTAGTTACCGTGTTTTCCTTAGTCTTTAAGTCTAGTCTTAATATATTATTAACTAAGGATATAAAAATCCTTAGGGAGAATTACTTCCTTATCTAAAAAGCGTCCCTCGGCTTTAGTCTAATCGTGACTAGCTATTCTATATATAGCTTTAAAAAGGTCTACTACCTAGATATACATTACGGGTATCGACTTAACCTCTTCTAAATACTTTAATAGTTTCTACTATTTTAATAACTACTCTTATAGCTTTTTAAGGCTATTCGGAGTAGTATAAACGTATTTATTATATTCTTTATAGGTATTTACGTAGCGCGTAGCTATATAATAAGCCATATCGCGTTAAATAGCTTTATATACCTTCTATTATATAGTATTATATAAAGTATCTTACGGCTTTTATTAATAGTATTAGCCTATTATATTAATATAGCGTTAATATCTTTAGCGTATTTTACGTGGTTATCCCTTTATATCTTTTAATGCTATATCGTAGATTCGTACGCATAATATCCGCGGGGAGTTAAATCTAATATCTATATAGGCGTAGCGTCTATTTATATAGTAGCGTTCGACGCTTAAAAGATATTATAGGAAGGTAAAAGAGGCCTTTAAGAGGAGGGAATAGAATTATTAGGTTGTAGATAATTCTATACATTATTATTAACGGCCGTAGCTTTATAGTGACTATACTAGAGCTCCTAATCGTGATAGATTTTATAAGTAATAGGCTTATATTCTAATATCTTATTAATTATAGATAAACTCGTTATATCGACATAGCTAAATATCTTCTTAATCAGTAATAATAAAGGTAAAAGGGTAGGCTTTTTACTAAGTAAGTAATACTCTTAATTATTATATAAAGCCTAGTCGAAAAGGTATAAAATAGGTTAAATTTAATTAAGCTAATTATCAACTATTATAACTATATCGGACTATTAAGAAACCACTACTACTATACTTTATATAATATAGATTCTATAAGTATCTACCCGGATTATAATCTTAGTAATCCGGCCCGTTACGTAACTAAAAAGATTATAGTCTATTCGATAGTATCTTCTATATTAGGAATATACCTAAGAATATTAAAGATACCTCTTTTAACTCTAGGCTTTATAGTAGATTAAAGCCTTTTTATATTATTAAGGACGGTTCTTAAAGCCTTTACGAAGTCCTTAATTATTAGTTTATTTTCCGTAACCTTATTATAGTTATTTACTAAGTAATTATTACTTTATTTAGGAGCGATAAGTCTAATAGCTCTTAACGTATCTTTAACCTAATAGTATACGCTTATTAGTATTAGAACGCCTATATATCTATAGTATATTATCGCTATCTTCTAGTTTATACTATATATATCTATATCGTAAGGTATCGCCTTTATAGGCGAGGTGTACTATTAATATAGGATTAGGGTATTCTTATAGAGGTTTATAGGGGTTAGTCCTACTTACTTATAAAAGAGGGTAACCTACGCTAACGGGTTATTTATATCTGTATATTATAGCTACGCAAGGAGGCTATATAATATAATATAGATTATTTATAAGATAAATAAGCGTGTCTTATTAAGCTCTTTTTACTATGTATTATAGTTATTCTTTTCCTCGTGATATATATAACGATCTTATAAGTAACGCGTATATCCTTTATTAGAGAGGTCGCTAATAGATATAGGAATCTTAATTAGTGGTTTTTTGATTATAGTTATAGCCTTCTTACGCGCGGTCGTTTTCTTCTTTATACTAACGGCTATAATAGTAGTAATAGTAGCGGTAATAGCTATAATAGTAGTAATAGCCGTGATAGGGTCTTAGCCTAAGGCATTAGTAGCGTTATCGCCCTTTACCGTGATAGTAAAGGATAAAATAGCCTCCTTAGCCTTAAGGTTAATGATAAGAGCTTTATATTTACGGATATTAGGTAGCGTAGGCTTAAGTAATAGGTAGGCGTTAGCCTTCTTATTACTAATCTATAAATTAAGATAGTTATCCTAGTAAATAGTAGATTTACCGTTTATTACGCGCTCCTATAATACCTAATTCCTTTAGTTAATAAGGGTAATAGTAGCTTTCTATTCGATATCAGATATATTAGAAGATATCATAACTTACTTATAGGTTAACTAATTAATTAGTAGGTAGGTTAATTAATAGCTTAATTACTCTAATTAGATTAATAGTAGTTATTTTAGAGTGCTTTAAAACGTGATTACTTTTATAGTAGAATAGAGTAGCCTATTAATATTTTATTTTTAGATATATTATAAACCGGGCTTATTACTATTATACGTTAAATAGCACTTATATAGGAATCCTAATAAAGTAAAACTCTTATATATATATAATTAAGCTATATCTATATAAGTCTTTTATACCCTTAGTTTAGATAGTATAGACTCTATTTTTAGATACTATATTATTTAGATTCTATCTGGTTATTCCCGATATCTATACTCTATTATATCCTAATCCCTAATTATAAAGCCCTTAATTAGGTATATATACCCTAATAACTCTATTATAGTCCTATACTTATACGATATAAGTAAGGCTTATAACTAGTATATATTCAGAATAGTCTTTTGGTATCAATTATAATAATAATTCTAATTAATTATAAGTCTTATATATATATAAGTCTTTATACCTTTAATTCTAGGTAATATAGACTCTATTATATATATACTTTAATTTAGATCCTATCTAGTCTTTCCTAATAATCTACCCTTATTTTTTTCCATGCCCGAAGGCTAAGGTCCGAAGACCTATTTCTCCGCGCGCGACCCCTTCATGGTCACGTGTCTATGTGACAAAATAGTCCCTTATTTAATGCCCCTGGTGTGTACCTACTAATTTTATGGGGACTTTTTCGAGTTGTTACAGTGTCCCCTGCGGCATGCGGTAACCCCCTTGCTTCTCGGTGTGGCATGCTGACATGTGGTGGATGGCGGTGAGGAGGGTGGCAGGGGGGCGACGAAAAATACGGAGTAACGGAGTACAATGTCTGTCTCCCCCCTTTTTTTCTTTTTCGTTTCTCTTTTTTCCCCCTTTTTTCCAATTTCCTTTTCTGCTTTATTACACGACTTTCTTTTCCCTTGCGCCACGAAATTCTCAACGTATGTGTATCAAGGTCGATGGCTACATACCTTAAGACCCCTACAGATAAGATAAGCCTCCCTAAAGGGGAAAAAGAGAAGAGAAAAAGAGAAGAGAAAAATAAAAATAAAAAGAAATTGAAAGAAAAAGAAAAAGAAAAAGAAAAAAGAAACCCCCCCAAATGATACGGACTTGCGCAGATACATATATATGTGTTTTATTTTTATTCTTTCCGCGAATGTAGCCCAGACAAGATGATATTTCAGCCCTTCTCTCGCTGGCCCCTCTGTCACAGAGGATAGGGACGCCCAGGAGACACCAATAAGTATTCACGCTGCTCCTCAGGAAGAGGGTTCACCATAACACGATGGTGTGGTGGCCAGTGTGGCCAGTTCGCTGGTAAACTGAAGAAGAGTGCCCTTCTGTTGCAAAACACTTGCACTTCTCCTAACCTTCTTTTTCCTTGCATTGTTCATTAATTCGACGGAACAAAATATTGCGGTAATGTCATGTCGTTGCTATAGGGGGGGGAAAGGCCAGTTTAGCTTGATTTTGCCCTCAACATCAGAAACATCCCTCTCCCCCCCTTCCTCACTCATATGCCAGCCTCATCTTCATAACGCTGCCCAAATACATGCCCCCGCTAGATGCTGCTACCCATGTGCCCTCTGCCCTCTGCCCTGACTCCTCCCGCTTCTTGAAGTCGGCGTCGTTTTGCGGTGTGGCGCTACATTTCATGCCGGGTATAAGATATATATATATATATCTATATATATACGCACTTACTCCACTTCTTCACTTCCACCTCTGCAATGCTCCTCTCGACACATTCGCCTCGTGATACAAGATACAACGACCGGCTCTAGTAGATACCTTGCGTCCTATACTGGAAAGTATCGTAGCTGTCAAAGGCGTTAGCGTCAAAGGAATAGTAGATATATCCGGTGATGTGCGAGGGCCAGGGGCACAACTTACAGTCTGGTGTAGTAACTGCCAAGAGACTTTCCTATCAAGTCCGTCTCGACGTACTGCTCCGCCTCATCGGCACTGAGCTGCAGCTGGAACCGTTGTCGCAAGTTATGCGTAGCCTGTACAACGCCGGCCGAGAAACACGGCATCTTGGACTCCCGCCCCATCATGGCAACGAGGTCGATAATGCTGTCCGCCGACCGACGTAGAGCTGGTCACCGTGTCAGCTTATACAGAAACACTATCTATCCACTTCTCCAACACAAAGAAACCCCCCCCAACCCCCCCCCCCCCCCCCAAAAAAAAGGCGTCTACGCCGAGAAGGACTCACCCTGAAATGCCTGTTTACAAAGAGTCTTGTAATCGTCATAGTCCTCCGACCCGATCCCGCCGAGCACATCCACGTACTCGTGCGTCAGCTTGAACGGCGCCGCCTCGAACCCCACCGACCCCGGCGAATTCGACAGCATGAACCCAAAGTCAATGTGCACGATGTGGCCCTCGCTGTCGATCAGCACGTTGCCGTTGTGCCGGTCCTTCAGCTGCAGGATGTACGAGATGACGCTGTACGCCGCGAGCGACCGCTTGAACGCGTCCACCCCCGCCCGGTGCGGCTCGCTGTCGGCCGGCCCGAACGCCTTGAGGAAGTGGTCCTTCAGCGTCGCCACCCGCCGCCGCTGGCTCGGCGGCCCCGACTCCATCATCGACATGGTCAGGCTCCGCTTGATCGAGTGCAGCGACACCCCGTTGGTGATGGTCTCCACCAGGCCCGACGACTCGCCCGTCACCAGGATCCGCATCAGCTTGACCCAGACGTCGACCCCGGCCTCGACCCAGATCTTGTGGCACACCTGGATCAGCTGGCACGCGAACGCCTCCTGCCGCAGGTCGTCGCCCGTCTTGACGATCACGCTGACGAGGTCCCAGTTCTTCATCCACCCGTACGGCGACGTCTTGCGGATGCGCTCCCTCTTGGCCTGCCACGCCTCGCCGAACACCGCCGCGCTAGGATCGTCCCGGTCGCTCTTCCGCTGCAAGCCGCCCGTTTTGATGTCGTTCTCCATGCGCGCGATGCCCGCCCCGCCGTTCACGTTGGGCTCCACCGCCGCCGCCGCCGTCGTCGCGCCCTCCTCCACCAGATCCGGGTGGTGGTGCGCCGCCGCCGCTTGCGCCGCCGCTGCTTGCGCCGACGCCTTGGCCATGATCGTGTCGAACGTCGGGCCCGTCCCGTCGTCCAGGTCGAAGCTTTGCTTCTCGAAGCTCTGCATGCTGGCGATGATCCTGGTCCGGATCGCCGCCACCTCTCCCTTGGGCCGCTTGCCGCTCGTCGCCTCCAGCTGCGCCAGCATCTGAGAAGCCGTGCGCATGTGCGTCGCCAATGCCGAAATGTCGGGTTGCTCCACGCCGCCGCCGCCGGACGGACACGTAGCAGCACGGCCCGAGAGGTTGAGGTTGAACTTTCTGGAGGGCCCGGGGCTGCTGGATCTCGTAGACCCCCCGGAGCTTCGCGGCGTGGCCATATCCGACACCGTGCTCGGCAGTGCCGTACTCTGTCCGCTGGAGAGCCGCTGAGGGTGGTTCGAAGGCTGCGTCTGTGGCCAGCTGCTCTGATGCTTCCGGGAAGGCTCTTCGTCGTCAGCTCGCAACATCGGGGAGCTGCCGAGGTCGCCAGACACCGGCTCGAACACGCTGTCTATCACCGGCTCCTCGGGTTCCGGGGCCGGCCGCGGGAGCGTGGGCATCCGCCGGGACGAGTCGGAGAGGTCGAAAATGCGTCTCGAGCTCCCTTGCTCGGCGAGAATCGTGGTCATCAGCCTCTGGTTGTCTGGCGTGTCCGGGTCGAAGGAGAAATCGTCTCGGAGAATCTCCACCATGAGCAAGTAGGGAACCTTCTCCGCGCTGTTCAGTACAGTAGCCTCCGCCGGGTTCAGTCGGACGATGCGATGGTGGCGGCTCTTGCTGGGCGATCCGTTGACGAGCGTCGGCGGGCAAATGACCGGCACATCCACTTCGGCCGGCAAATCCTGGGCGATGAGGGCGAGCTCAGCACGCAGCGCGCTCAGGCGAGCCGGTTTCGGTACGCTGACGAGCCGGTGCGAGATGCCCTCGAGGGCGGTAAGAAACTGCGTCTGACACTTGAAGTAGTTTTGTCGCAGAAGCCTCGTTTTCTGCGTCGGCGACAGTTCCGCCACGGCCAGCGCGTTCTTGACGTGATGCGAGTGTCTCCTGGGCAGCGGCTCGCCGGCGCGCGGCACGATGCCGGCCGAGATAGGGGTCGAGGGCCGGGTGGTCATCCGGGGCGACCGCAGATCCGGCAAGGGCAACGAAGAGGAGCTCAGTCGGGCGTCCAGCGATCTCATGGCTAGGTGGGAAGGTTTCCGCTTCGGCTCGGAGGGCGTCGTTACCGCGGTCGCCGAGTCTAGCGAGTCGGTTGACTCATGATGGGAGACGGTTGGTGGCGATGAGCTCGAGCCTACGCCGGCAGGGCCAGGGCCGTGGTGATCAGGGGCACTCGTATTCCGAACGCTATCCTTGGCACGTCTAGAGCGCGAGCTCGCAGCGGTCACAGTGTGGGCCCGGGTCACCTTGGGAGTGGCCACCGTGTTTTCGAGGGAATCAGAGATTAGGTCGTCGGACGGCTGAGGTTTCCGCGCCTGGGCGACGGCAAGAGGCCCAGCGAAAGAGGGAAGGAAGGGAACGGCAACGGTGGCGAGGACGAAGCTGGCGAGAACAGTAACGGGAAGGATGTTCTCCTTGATCTTTTCATGGCGGGCCGCGTCGGGGAGGCCAAAAACGATGTGCTGCACCTTGTTGTAAACCCTCCGACACGTCTGGAAGGCCTTGGCCTGGGGAGTCAGGGCGAGGTCGTGCAGGTATGTCTGGAATAACCAGAATGTCTGTGATTTGTTGGTCAGTATTAGGTGTTTGTAAGATTTCAAGTTCCCCCGTCCCCGGTCCCGGGGCAGTTCGTTCAACAGGACACGAGAGACGAGAGACGAGACACGGCACACGGCACTTGGGACATGGGACAAGGACTCGAGCTTGAACAAGGTGCGTACGAACCAGTAGGGCCGCGGTCACGGATTCCTCGCAGAGGTCAAGCAAAAACTCTTCCAAGGCCATGGACTCATTGTCAACGCTGATTATGAGGTGACATAGCTGAGGTAGGAAGAACTCGATGTCCTCGTAGGGAAATTGTCGCAACTTGTTGCAGAGAACGTAGTGGATCCCCACATGGTCGGCGTATCGACTGAAGTTGGCTCGAGGTCAGCGGTGCACTAAATCATGCTCCAGAGAAGAAAGGTAAAACGGGGCGGGATAAGGCAGCTAGCTCTGGGGATCGAATCTCGAAGACTGGGGGAAGGGGACGGGGGACAGGCAGGGCAGTGTCCTTACGAGAGATACGAGACGGAGAGAAAGGGATCGGAGTTGAAGACGTCGGACTCGAGAAAGCGCTGGAGCAGGTCCCACGACATTTGGGTACGCAGGCAATAGCGGACTCGAAAGGCGAACAAAGAACCGAGGCAGGGGAGAAGAGGATGGTGCTGTGGCTATGCTATGGCAACAATGGCGAAGGTGACGACGACGCGAAGGAGCTCGGAGTCGGGGAGGGGGGGGGGAAGGGAGGATCGTGCGAGCGCCGAGAGCTAGGGGACCCCCTTCATCGAAGGTGAGCGCGAACTTGGCCGATAGGGAAGTTTAGCATGGCTGGCTTGTTGTATCGTGTCCCTGGTCGTCTTTTCCTTATTTTTCCTTGTTTATTTTTGTCTTTCTTTGAATTCTTCTTTTTTTTTTCTTTTTTCTTTCTTTTCCGTCTTTCCAATTGATCTCGATGCTTCACTTTTCGTCTATCCAGCTACTTCGTCGGGGAAACGTTGCGTCGTGTCGGTTTCGAGAAATAGTTGGCGCTGGGTCAAAAGGAGAGGTGTTCGAATCTTCAAATCCGAGTACGTTATAAGTTTAATGCTTTTCGTAGCTTTGGTAGGTTCGGTCCTGTCGTGTGTGGTCTGGGGGGAAGAGAAGACGTTGAGGAGAGTTTGTGCTGCCCCCTGTGGTTGTGGTTGGCTGCTGGAGGTGCCGGACTTTGGTCGCGGTGCTTGGCCCAGGAATTCACCGCAGTATTGCATTGGACGTTTCTAACGAACCCCACCCTCATGGCAGTAAGGTACTTTGAGAGTACCGCGGCGGATCGGGGGACGCAATTCCCTTGATTGTATTCGAGGCTCCCCACAGCCCGTCAGACTCGAGTTACAAATGTGCGGTGTACAGTGTACAGGAGAGGTACCAATGCATTCGACATGCGGGGCGAACCCCGAAGTGGTGTTAAGTTTCAGGCACCAATCGAGGCGCTAAGACCAGAAGAGGCAGTCAGCTTCCATTCGCAGAACAGGACCATTCAGATCAGGCGCAAGATATTACGCTCGAACTCGCCCAATATGGAAAGAGCCAAACCAACAAAAGTCAACAGAAAAGTAATAGGTAATACTGCTCAGCAACTTATACACACCAAGTGTCCACCATGTCGTGTCATGTCCTACCGTGGCATGGGATCTACGGAGTACGGCGTAGCCTGTAGGCACGCTCTGTCAAAAACCATCCAAGCCCCACGGACGAAAACAAAAACCACACGAGCCTCGCCATCCGAGACCGACCAACATGCCGACGATCGCCCAATCAAACGCCGGTGAAGATGCTCAGTTGAAATATGTTCCATGGCCCATGGGACCATGCGTCCCTCCAATCCTTCAACGCCAGCCAACCTCTCCATCAAGAGTCGCGTTCATTTCATCTTCTTCAGACATCGTTCTTGACCCTTCCTTTGTGCGTAAGACTTCCCAACTTCCCAACCTTCACTGCTCTTTCTTCAACTGCCTCCGCCACCAGTTCGCTAAACAGACCCCTTCTTTTTCCTTCCTCCTCTGCCCCTCTTCTTTGGCTCAGCTTCCACAAAGTCCTCTTCGCTCTCTTCCGTCTCGACCTTGGCCCCTGAACTTGTGCGGCCGCCTCCCTTCCTCTCGTCGTCGCCCACCTTTGCCGCAATGTCCGCCAAGAAGTCGTATTGTCCGTCGGACTGTATAACCTGCTTGAGCATGTGCGCGGTGACACGTTTCGAATTCTTCTCCCGCGCGATCTCGGCGCTCTTCGTGACGACATGGACCATGAACAGCTCCAGCGCCTTCCCCACCGCAATGGGCGTCTGCTGTGCCACTTTCCCAACCTCCTCGTCCGCCTGCATAATCCTTTTGATGCGGGCCGTCGGGAACTTGGTCTTCACTGGTGACGGTTCGATGCTCGAGTCTGATGATGCCGCGGCTGCGGCTGCGGCTGCGGACCTCCGCGGTGGCATGGTTTCGGGGCCCGCCGTGGGCAGTGTCTGATGATGATGCGGCTGATGGGCCTGCTGTTGTCGTTGTTGTGGCGCTGGTTGTGGCGGCTGGTATTTCTGGTTCTGTAGCTGCTGTTGCTGTTGCTGTTGCTGCAGTACAGTAGGCTGGTATTGCCCGCTCCCTTGGCTGTGACTCTGATTGTAACTATGACTCTGACCGCAACTCTGGTCGTACAAAGATGGCGCGGCGGTGAACGGCAGCTGGTTGTTGTTTGCACCGGGTACTACGTAGGGCTGACCCTGATGTGGCGAGGGTCTAGGGGCATGGGGGGGAGGGTGGGAAGCCCGACGATCGTATGCGCTGTGAATGGAAATATTCTGCAACGTCGGAAGCCACGACTGTTCCGAGTGCAATGGTTGTCGAGGTTGCTGTGGATGCCGATCCAGACTCTGTTGTCTTATAAAATGCGGTTGAGCCGCTTCAAAAACGCGTGCAGGTTCTTGTCGGTACTCCGATTTGAGCGCGACTGGCGAATAGTGTGGCCGTTCTAGTCGTTCTAGTTGAATCGGCGCAGTACTACTGGTGTTGGTGTTCCCGGCTGCCGTGGCAGAACTAGCAACGGGCGTCGTGGAGGTCGCTTGTGGGTACGCCGATAACGGGTAATGAATTGGGTCTTGATGTGGGGGCACGGGCAATTGGAAGTGGGCGCGTTCGTGTTGGTCGTGGCGGCGCTGGTTATGGTTATAGTTAATAAGGTGCGGTAGGTCGTTCAGGTTTGTGGTTTGCACATTATAGTGGTGTTGCGCGTGCTGTTGTGGAGGAGGCGTTGGTGGGGCGGCAGGTGCCGAAAAAAAAGAAGAGAGGTCGGGGGATTTTGGGGCGTACTCCTCGGCCATATTTATGATCCCTTTGGCACCCTTGCTCCTCTTTCCTCAGTTGGTCCTTGCCCTTTTTTTTTTCTCCTCTTCTTTTTTTGACTCCCCCGTATATTTTTTTTTTGGCTTCCTCTTTTTAATCGCCACCCAAGTTGAGGAAATTCACACTTTCTTTCCCGTATTTATTTTTCAATTCAGTGAGAGTCAAGGTGGGATTCCCATGCAGTATATGGACTCCATCCACGTCGTCTCGATGAGTACTGACTGACTGTACTGAATACCTGAGTCACTACCAGGGCGATAATTTGACCGACTCAAGTCGGCTCACGTTTGCGACTTGGGATCGTCGGTCTTCCCAGCGGCGACGTCGTTTTTGTCAGACCAGTCTGATTCGATGCGTTTGATCGCCTTCTAAACGGAGAAGCCAAGGACGCCGAAACCTGCTCGGATGAAGACAGAGAATTGAGAGCTGATGGCGAGCTGAAGTAGCCCAAACACGTCTATCGCTTCTGCCAAGGCGTGGTACGTTGGGTGCCTCTAGATTCGAGCGAGACCTGGGCGGAACAATGAAGAGTCCCCAATCAAGACGAGACCTTAACCGACTCGACTGGTACAATGCAACAAACCGCCGTCAAGGTGGCGAGAATGTAAAAGCTGCGTCCAGGCCAGGTCGATCAGGAGGGTGGTAAAGCTGCAACACCAACACTCAGTGCAACTACTGCTCGGTGCTGTCACTCAGCTCGAAGAGCTGAAACACAAAGGGAGCCAGTGCAGTGTAGGGTCAGAGAATACTAGCTCCTTTCTATGGCCAGAGAGGAAATAACTAGTAAAAGGAAGACAAACAGGAGGGAACACAAGTAATCCCGATGAGGCAAAGGAGGGCGAAAAGCCTCTTCAAAACCTTGTCCGGGTTCTATTGGATCCCACCTGCCCGATTTCCCCTCGTCACGAACGGAACCTGAGATACTCAAGACTGCGCACTATTGTGCTCTCTTGACCAGCCACAAGCCACAAATCAAACTATGGTGGCTCGTTGCGTCGAATCCACGGATAACAGCCCTGAATGGTGGCGAGGTTGAGCTTTAGGCTTTGGGTTGCTGGTGGCTGCAGAACCGTTGACACCAGATCAGTGTACCCTGAGGGCTGATTCAGACAAGGGAGAGGGAAAGTCGCCGTGCGCTATTCCCAATTTGGCGAGATGCTTCGGAGCTTGTCTCTTCGGTGGTCGAGCCGAGCCCTTTGGTTGTGAATGTATGACGTGCGGTGAAATATGTATGTAAGCAAGCAAGCCTTAAGTTCCGGTCATTGGCGTGACGACTGATCGTAGAAAAAAAAGGTAAAATAAAATCAAAAGAGTCGTGGAAAGAGTTCGGAGAAAGGGCTTGCTATCGACAGAGAATAAATAAAAGAAAATAACAACGATAATAATGATGATGATGATAATAATAATAATAATAATAATCACAATATAAGCAAAATAAATGACAAAGAATAGGGGTGTGACAAAACGAAAACACTTTACTTTCGTACTTCGAAGGCCTAAGCTGGGAGAGTGCTTGGTGGATAATCGAACAGGAAAGCCCAGGTTCAAATGCGAGGGCAACGGATGTGACAGCCCCCTTCGGAAAGTCGAGGAAGGGCCATTTGTGGAGGGGGGGCAATGCGCACCGTTTATATGCGCGTCGCGGTTCCGATGCGACAAATATTTTGGCTCACCTCAAACGGGCCTTGGGACAGGGGCCGGGGCTCATGGTTCACACTATGCCCTGACCGGGAACCGATCGACATGAGCTCCACAGCCTGAAAGCTCCACAGGCTAAGAAAAGGCGAGCGCCTACCTACCGAAGCCTATTTGCCTGCGAAATAGAGCTTGCGGGCTTATCTAACCAAGGAGATGCGTATTCGTACACGTGTACTTCGTACTGGAAATTTTCCCACCCGCGCATCACCGTCTCGCGTCTTACTCCGCACAAAGCTGATGTCTCGGACTTTCAACTCTCCCAACTCGCTTCAACCAAAACTGGCATACATTGATGGTCGACTTCTATTGTTACTCAAAATCACAGAGAAATCTCGTTGTTCTATCTTGTTTATTTTCGGGGGCTCTGGCCCGATCCCTGCCGTATATCATTCGGCTTCCCTCAATCCTTCTGCAAGCCACTTGCTGCCTACTGCACCCACCATTTCCCACCATGCGCCATGATACAACGCTACTGGCCTCCTCTGCCGGGTGTTACTCTTGCTTTTTGGGGTTTGGGGCCCTTGAGTTAGGCATACTCTCTCGGGGCCCTTTCGGAGCCCCGTGGTCTTGAACGCAGCTCACTAACAGCGAACGCGAACCAACTGACATAACATCGGGCATAGTGGCATCCTAGAGAACGAGAATTGTCACTGTTGCCGCTGTGAATGATAACACCACGTGTCCGATGCAAGGCGCCATCCCTTACTCGACGAGATTAGCGCCTCCGAGGTTCTCGGTCCCACGATGCTCTCATGCAGTTGCCACTGCGACCACGGAAACCAGCATGACGACAGCTAAGCTGCAACCCGCCGCTTTCGCCTCTTTGCTCAGTAGTTGGATGCAACATCCCCGAACGTGCGCTCGCTTTGCCCTCCCTCCTCTTCGGAATTTGAATACCAAGCCTCGACTGCAGATTTTACGGCACCCCCACGCCACAGCCATGACATATGCCTATACTGATGGTTCTTCGACTCTGTCTTCCTCCATTTACCTCGGTTCCAACGCAGGTTTTACTCGGAATACGAAGCATTGAGTGATACCTAGCTTTAAGCATCAGACTTCTTCAAGCATATCGCAGACAGCTGGTGTCCAAAAACACTCCCCTGGTATGCGCCTAGCTGAAAATCTATCACTCACACCCTTTCAGGTTCCCTTGGCCACTTTGTCCGGACGGCAGGGAACGTCTCTTTTTGCAACTTATTTGCAAAATGTTAAGTGAGTACTTGGTACAGTCCTGTTGTACAATCCAATCCCCACCCACATGATGATAGAGCACCTCCCGAGACCAGTCTTTCGACCAGCGGCTAGCGCGCCGCAGAAACCGAGAAAAACTCCGTGTTCCGAGGTCGCTGGCCCGCCGTGGTCGCCCGGTTGAAGAAGGACCCGAAAATTTACTTGATCTAATCTGAGCATATGACAATCACCCTCTGATGGCCGGCTTCAATCGTGAGTTCAGTGAACATGCTTTCTAATCGCTGCTGTTAGTGTCTTCAACCCCGACAGTCGATTCTCGGTGCCGGAGAGAAACAATGACGCCACCGGCCAGGCGTGGACGCCGCCTTCGTCGCAGTGACTGTGCACCTCAGTAGCCCTGCTCAGCAAGGCAACAAAGTCTTGGATGTCCGGCGCGAACACTTCCTCCGATCCGTATGTCACGAAAAAACCGTGGGATGGGCTGGCCTCCGCCCATACTTCGTGCTCGGTCTGCAGCCCGGGAGACGCGGCGCAGCTCGGCAGCCGGTCCTTCCCGGTGTATTGCATCGCATAGTCGTGGAGGGGCCCGCAGTCCAGGTAGTCGCTTGTGGAGTTGTTGTGTTTGCTGGAGACGAGTGTCACCCACGGCGACACGAGGATTGCGAGCGCCGGCAGCGGCGTCTCGGATACGCTCAGCCAGTGCTTTTTAAGCTCTCGATCATACATCCCGTCACTGTTGCCCGGGGTTGCCGCCCACTCGACCTTGCGCCGATATGCCCTTGCGCAGTCGTTCTGTCGGCCGATCTCGAGAAGCAAAGAGAGGACAAGCGTCCCACCCGCCGAGTCGCCCGATACGACTACCTTCCCTGGATCACCAGCCACCGAGAGAACGTGGCGATAGCCGCGCATTGTCTCTTGCACCTGCGTCGGGAACGTCCTTTCTGGCACGAGGGAGTATTCCAGGGCAAAAATGCATGGGTTTTGGTAGCCCGATTCCGCGAGCAGGGAATGCCATGCGAGCAGAATCTCGAGGTAGAAATGTACTGAGCCCATAGCGAAGCCGCCTCCGTGCACGTAGTAGAGGACCATATCCGGAGGTTTAGATGGGTCGGCGCTGATCCAGACGCCGCTGAAGCCTTCAGGACCCTAAAGCAGAAATACATATGACATTAGCATGCCTATTCGAGGGCCGTAGCGGCCACCGTATCGTCGTCCAGTCTGGGGAAGTGCCACTGCCACGCATACCTCTTCTTTGTACTCGGCCCATTTGGTTGGAAATGTGAAATAGCCATGTCGTGCCATGCGCCAGGCGAGAAACGGCATGGCCACAGCCTTGTGGAAGAATACGCGGCCGACATGGGCGGGGACATTGCGAAACGCATACCGCACGCAACGGACGACTAGATCCTCGAAGAAGGAAGCGCGGGCAACGAACGGCGGTCGTCGACTACGCGGACGTAATAGGCGGTCACGAATGAGGGCTAGAGGAAGACGGACGAGGAGGAAAGGTAGGCAGCTGAGTGCAACGTAGATGGTGCGGAAGAGGCCGACATGAATGATGAGCTGCGGTGCGAGGAAGAGACAGAATATCGCCGAGTCGAGTAGAGAGACGGGAGTGAGGATCATGGTGGCGGAGGGCTGTCGTTGCTGCGATGTCCCTAGAGCTGTTGTCGTGGCCGAGGAATGGCCATGTGGGGTGAGCCTGGGTCGCTGGTGTGGATGAATTTACACGTAGGCGTGGGCCGTTGCTATGATGATCGCCAGGTTCTCTGCAAATCCAATTGGTCTAAGGACTGCCGCTCCTAGGAAACCATGTAGGATGACGGAGCGAGTGGGCAAGTCCGGTAAGCTCGACCAGAGAGGGACGCTCCTAGGAACCAGCCAGGTAGCTGATGACGAGCGGATGGAAAATTGAGCGAGCGAAAGAGCCTCGAGAACATACGACAGAGCCCCAATGAGTTGCCTATGCCATGACATGAACGACACGTGCAGCAGAATCATTCAACCTTGGCGACGAGACAGATTGGTGGTGAGGGTACGCAAGCTGGTCAGAATCAGGAGGGTTCCAACGTCAGACTTGATGTGGCGATCGACCGTGATTAGCCCGTCTCTGGACATCTTGGCGGAGACGGGTCACCCGTAACGCTACGAAGTACCTAGTTGCGGCATATGCTGAGGTGTTACTGCTACCTTACCTATATTAATAAGTACCTTGGGCAATTGCTACAGTACCTACGGAGCCTGACGTAAGGTAGGCGAAACAGGGTGGTCTAATTGGAATGGCCGAGATGCAGCCACCGCGAGGAAATAAAGCTGGAAAGTGTGGAAACGACGCGGAGAACGGAAAGTATTACGGACACTCCGTCCCTCATTGATTACTAAATCTCTCTTTGCTGTCACTGCGGAATGTTTCGCTCATTCCAGCGCAACTCCTTACGCCCAACAAAGTCATCATGCTCTTTAAAATGTACAACCAAAAGGCATCACGCAAAATTTGGGTTGATCGCCTCGCAGTTGCGGATACACTAGGAATAATTACCTGACACAACAGCCGCCAAAATCCTCAAGCGAAAAAAAGACCGAACGTCTGGAGGAAGCCGGCCGAGTATCATCATTTTCGTTTTTTCCCCTCATACAACTGACATGGAGAATGAGCCAAGGTGAGAGCAATATCAGGATGTTCAAACTGGAGTAAGGGATGCAACTGAATGATGACGTCCCCGATGATGCCGTGGATCTTCTGCAGCACAGTCGTGGTTCTGAGAATCCGGGAGTCGCAGGTCCGGCTCCATCATCTGGCTTCTGGAATGGGCGGAAAGCACGGCGCCCGGAGCCGGCCCGGAAGCGGTTGGCTGACGTGGCGGGGGCCGGGTGGCCCGTTGGTGAAGTGACCGTTCACCTCTGGCTACCACCGGTAGTGGTGTAGAGTTGCCCGGGAAGGCCAATGATGGGGAAGAGGTGGCTGTTTCTTTGACGCGGACATCTCTAATCGAAGTGATCCCCGTTATGAAAGTCAGCAGTTGGGTTTCCTTAAGATTGTTATGGTGACTGGTGACGACTTCGTCAAATCGGCCCCCAGTATACTAGAAATCCGGGCGAACTCCGCCACAGAGACGGTACACAGCCGATACCTGGTAGCCGCTAATTAACGGCTTCGCATGAGAGTCTCTGGTGCGATTGAAACTGTTCCTCCTAGTTTGTTGGCAGACGGGTTCTGGGTATGTTCACATTGGAAACGTCAAAGGTATTCATTCATTGGCCCCAGTTCCGTCAAAACTCCGTCGGGACAAAGGGTATAGCCAGAGAAGAGAAAACATGGACCTCAGCGGCCAGTCATGCTATGCGACATGAAGCAGGAACATTCGCCCTTGCGGATACTCGGACTAAATGAGGGGTGAGCTGGTATCAAAGCAGCGACACGGTTCCCCGATACTTAATGATGAGACGAGAAGCACCAAGTGAGTCTGCTGCCGTCCTACTGTAGGGAGTCCAGCGCCGCACCCGTCTGGTTGACGGATCTTGCCCATCAATCTGAGGAAACGAAATAATTACACACGCACTCACAGACATCAGTTACCGAGTAGAACCTCTTTCTCCGGAGATTTTCTCTGGCAGATAATCTCACAACCGTCACGGGGCCCAAATCTGCACTTCGTGTGCGGCCCAGCAGAGAGTGCCCCTAGAGCGTAATTACTTCGTCTCACAGAGTTCACTGCCCAACCCCGAACCACAATGTCACAGGCCCGCAAGACACCTGACTAACATCGTCTTATTGGTATCGCGTCCAAAGAAGTTAGGTGGACCATGCGGCCTGGCTTTCAATATCGGGGAGACTGACACTATTTCTGCATGGCTCGACGGCATATATGGCAGGACCATAAGATGACCCATGATCAAGATGCCTAGGATCGTGGCGTCCTAAATAATGAACCGGAACATCTGGGCAATACAGCCACTACAGCGGGGTAAAATAGTTGTACGGCAACAAAACACCGCGCAGCTAGCCCCTTTCCCTTCGTCCGACCCGGGGTCGAACAAGATATAGGCTGGTACGACGTATCGGCGGG